AAAGTGATGAGAGGCATGGACGGACATTCGTTGGTGCTTGAAGGTACATACAATATAATCTGTGGTAAGTAATCACCCTTCGTCTCTCGATTCTTCCTTTGTCACGTGTCTATCGTCAAAATCTCGCTATCCACGGTGGATACGTTTGTATCACGGATATGGGCTGCATTGGCAGCCCCGCTCCCAAGAGGGTCGCGACAGTTATGGTCACTTGACATTGTCACTTAAGAATTCGTTATGTATGAAGAAAAACTAATGTCATGTAACGTTGTGATAATTTTCCTTAAATAAATAATATGCGCACAAAGCTCTATATTATTAATAGGACCTGATGGCATCCCAGCAGAGTACTGAAAAAATGTGCAGCGGAGTTGTCTCCCGTGCTCAAGCGCTTATACCAATGCTCGTATTCTTTGGAGCGTATGCCGGAGACGTAGAGAGATGCTAACGTTCAACCGTTGCCCAAAAAAGAGGATCGCTCAGACCCGGCAAATCCGGCCGATAGCAGTCACCTCAGTATTATGTAAAGTCCTAGAAAAGGTCCTTAATAACCATCTGACCCGCTACCAAGAGGATCACTCCCTGATTAATGATCGTCAATATGGTTTTAGACCGAAACGATCGACGGGTGATCTTCTAGCGTACTTGACACATATCTGGGTGAAGCTATCGACAAGCGTGGCGAGTCGTTGGCTACCAGCCTTGACATTGCCAAGGCGTTCGACAGGGTCTGGCACAAAAGCCTTCTCTTCAAGCTTCCGGCATAGGGTCTGCTGGCCCAGTTCTGTTCTTGGGTAGCTGACTTCCCACTCTCTTTCTGCTCACTCTCTGCTGCATATGAATGACTTAATTCCTCTTGGGAATATTCATTGCTATGCAGACGATAGTACAGTGCATGCGTATTTCGGACAAGCAGCGGCTGGGCAGGCGGCAACCAAGGAGAAACGAAAGGAAGTTCGCTCAGACCTGAATCCAAAGGACAACATCGAAACCGTGATCGAAACAGCTTCATGCAAACTCGGAGTCCTAAACAAGGTGCGGCGTTTTTTCACATCCGATCAACTGTGCTTGTTGTACAAAACGCAAGTGTGGTCCTGCGTGGAATAATGCTCGCACCTCTGGGATGGCTCCGCCAAGTACTTGCTCGATGCTTTGGATAGGTTACAGCGGCGCGCGATCCGCATCATAGGCAATGAGGAGGTGACTAATCACTTACAGCCTCTTCAATTACGCCGTCACGTGGTGTCACTAAGCGCGTTCTATCGTCTGTACCACGGCGAGTGTTCTGAGGAGTTATTCTCTCTTATTCCACCTTCCCATTTCCTTCAGAGGACCACGTGCGCTGGCCTACGTCTAACTGTGGCCACAATTCCAACGCGTACAAAGAAATTTGGTGACTCATTTCCGTCAATGGAATGCTCTGCCCGCTCATGTGCTCACATACATGAGCGCTTAGTGACACCACTTCATGGCGTAATTGCAGAGGCTGTAGGTGATTAGTCATCTCCTCATCGCCTATGATGCGGATCGCACGCCGTTGTAACCTATCCAAAGCATCGAGCAAGTACTTGCCGGAGCCATTCTAGAGGTGCGAGCAATATTTCACGCAGGACCACACTTGCGTTTTGTACAACAAGCACAGTTGATCGGGCGTGAAAAAACGCCGCACCTTGTTCAGGACTCCGAGTTTGCGTGAAGTTGTTTCGATCATGGTTTCGATGTTGTCCTTTGGATTCAGGTCTGAGCGAACTTCCATACTGCGTGTAATGTTGCTCTGTAGCGCCAGTGTTGTGCCCTGAAGAGAGGAAAGGGGAAGGAATGGCGATGTTTTTGCCGTGAAAGCGCAAGCCTGAGTTTTCTTGGCATTGAACTCAACCAAGTTCCTGGTACCCCATTCGGAAATGTAGTCCAAAGCCTGATTGAGTTCAATGACAAGATTCTCCCGTTTCTCCTTGGTTGCCGCCTGCCCAGCCGCTGCTTGAAGTCAGCTACCCAAGAACAGAACTGGGCCAGCAGACCCTATGCCAGAAGCTTGAAGAGAAGGCTTTTGTGCCAGACCCTGTCGAACGCCTTGGCAGTGTTAATGCTGATAGCCAACGACTCGCCACGCTTGTCGATAGCTTCACTCAGATATGTGTCAAGTACGCTAGAAGATCACCCGTCGATCGTTTCGGTCTAAAACCATATTGACGATCATTAATCAGGGAGTGATCCTCTGGGTAGCGGGTCAGATGGTTATTAAAAACCTTTCCTGGGATCCTTTAAAAGAGGCGTGAAGAAGCAACATGCAAGCCGGCAGGGTGAGGATGGCTGGTGTGGCAAGTAAAACTGCTGTATCAGCTATCTTCGCGTCTGGACTCCACCTTCACTTAACATCAGGTGGGGTGGTCATTTGTCGAACTTATCTATAAAAAAAAAATGCGGCGCTCGTACGCCAAAACTATTGACTTTATGAAAAAGAAGGTAGATACATAAATTGTAGGAATATGTCTCTAGTTCCATTTTGTATCTAACTGTTTTTATCATAAAGGACATTGGGCATAAATGTATGGACGCTGCGCCCACGTCCGCCACGGCTTAAACTACATTTGTTTGGTATTATAGTCAAGATCATCTGTGCCAAAGCGCATCAAATTCATCCCGGGGGTCTTTAGTTATTTTAAGTTAAATATGTACAAGTACAATAACGAACGAACATTAATGAAACAAGGGAATTAATTTAGTTAGTTAGTTCAACCCTACATAGGGTGTTCAGGCACTTCATAAGTGCAAGGGTGCCCCCTTATGTTATTCTGCCGCGCTAGAGTAAATCTAAAAATCCCCTGGGTTGGGTTTTTTTTAAACATTCTGTTCGTTATAGTAAATTGTCTTCTATGTAAAACGGAGCGTCCACAGATTACACAAATTTGTCCACGCTTCGGAGAACACATAATTCCAATTTATCCATACTAATTGACAAAACCAAACCGATAATCGTGTTCCAATATCCATAGTGTGTTAGATAAAAATCAATCAAGTAGCAGGGAGCGCACAATCACAACGAAGTAAGACGAGTCGACTATTTGCAACTGCAAGTACTTCAACCCTTGTAAACCGTTTTGAAATGTCTCAGTAAGAGCAAGCGCAGGATGGTCGGCAGGCTTTGTGGTATAGTACGATATGGCATATTATTATGATTACTAATAATATAAAATAAAGGTACTATAAAATGAATTTATTCAGCTACTTAAATATGCCCATGTGTCATATCTACTGACTTCCAAGATATTTTTTACGGTGTCATATCTTTTGACTCCCAGGATATTTATTTTCGGTGTCATAATAAAAAAGGCTAGTTTTTCATAGATCTATCGATTCATACTTATTACATTGTTGGCGGAGCTGGGTGTGTTTTGCCCATTATTCTTAGTCGGAAAGGAAATATTTTCAAAACACTGCTTTTAGTCGCCATTTTTCCAATATGGCGGCGCGAGCGGCAAAAATATGAGGTGGCAAAGTCGAAATTCGGAAAGAGCACCTCAAAATATATAAAATTACCAATTTTCAAAACTTTCCAGGTGACCACTATATTTCTCACTAAATGGCTGTCCTAATTGGATATATTTATTTACTATAATTCAAGTTTAACAAAACAATCCTAGCTTTCTGTTTTTATTAAAAACTCTTCCTCAGGCCTCGTTGGTGTTGGCCTCAACAATCAAAAATTGTCCAAAACATTAAACTACCACCCGAAACTTCTGTTTCTACTGGTGATTGCTACGGATTATTTAAAGCTTTAGAATATATTAATCTGATGAATTTGCATAAACTGTTCAAAAATTTCCTTTCAAATGTATCTACCAATCATCCTGTTATAATAGATTGTAGAAAATTGATCTGGCAATGTCATTTAAAAGGTTATGATGTTGTTTTTGCCTGGATACCTAGTCATATAGGTATTTCTGGCAATGAAATTGCTGATAAACTTGCCAATGATGCTGTGGATTGTGGAGATATTTTTCCATACAAAAACTTTATTAATGATGTTTCCCTGTTTCCCTACCTTTACATTCGTATGTGGCTGACGCACAGCAACTGTGCAGGCTATAAAGGAAAAAAAATATGAAATCCCGCCAAAAACTCCGCTAACTTTTGTTTCAAAGAATTTTCACTGTTTGTTTACGTAAATAAATAATAAGCCCAAAAAATTACGAAATTATACAACTTTTTATGACCACTAAATATATACTAAGTACTAAATATATGTGTTATCTAGTGTGGAGATTCAATAAGCATAAAAAAAGCAGAACATAAGAGGCCTTGTATTTTTATTCTATGGGTAAAATTTCTTTTACATACATAATATATGTATATTGTTTTAAACTTTCATGGTCACAGAGTAACTAAGTACGGAGAACTCCGTGATCATGGCGCTTGCAACAGTGCCGAAATATCGGAGACTCATAAAAAACAAGGTACATGGTAACAATCCCGTTAATAACTATAATAATATATGTAATTTTCGAGGAGGAAATCGTCGAGAGCCCAACCTCTAATTTTGCAATTTTTATACGCACATTTCAGCGTTAGCTACTGTTGTCCCTATCGCACGGTAGGTATATGCCATTGCGCGACAGAAATAGTTTTTCAAATCCCTACTTCTCAAATGACTTTCAGCGCTTCCGCTCTTAATCCCTTACAAAAGACAATAACATAAAATAACACTGCCATTTGGTGGTGCTGTTTTTGTTTGTGTATAAGATTCCAGGGTTCCACGGGACAGGGATAGGGTTCAGGGTTCAGGCTTCAGGCCGGTAAGGTGAAGACGGCTACTTTCGGGTTTGGACTCCACTTACACGTCTTGTGTAAGGTTGAATTCTTTGTGTCCCTGCACGCTAATTTCAAGCTAGCAGCTATCTTAAAAGCAGGACTGGTTCGATTAAGCATTAAAAGTTTTTTCGGTACAGTTTATTATGAGTCGAATATAAAGATTATTGATGCAGAAAAATAAATATCATTGATGCAGGCTATTAAATATTTTATTTATATTTCAAATTTATAACAACATACATAAGGAATTAACTTACGTTCACTACATAATTTTGTTAGAAAAAAAGAAAAATCTGCTGTCTATTTAATATAAGTAATAAATGATTATTCTATTGGTGCTACTAAGATAATACGTTGGAGACGTATAGCACTTTCTTTTTGAAATGAACAAAAATATTTTTACAACAATACTAATATCATGTTCGGTGGTTTCTAAATTATTTTCAGTTTCATTGTATAGGTATTTATTGAGTAGATGGTTTTGATAGTTTGAAGAATTTATTTGTAATGGAAAATTATTAAAAAACCAATTGTAGGTACATTATACCTAATTTGTGTAAGAAATAAATACCTACAAATTCAAGTACTTTTACAATATTAAAAGGCCTGGTAAAAATGTTATTAAAGTTTATATTTTTAGCGCGATAGGGGGTCAGATAGGTTTTCGAATTATATAGATAATATCTATTTCGTCTATCTTTAGTGCGATGTGAAGATTCAATATAGTAAAGTACCTATTACATCGTTTCAAATAATATCTTCATTTTTATTCTCGTTAGTGTAATATATATAACTCTTTTAACACTTTTAAGTACTTCTCTTTATTGAATCAATTAATTAATGTCTATTCACACCCTACTAGACATAGCCAAAAATAATTTCTTAGTAAAAAAACCGTTCTGAGGGACTTGTGAGAAATCTTAATTGACTAGGTTCTTAAATGCACAATTATAATAAAAAATCTAATAGGCAACAGTAGGTCCCATTGTGTGTAGGTATATTAATTTATTGAATTGGCTAAAGGCCGCACTAAAACAAAATATATTTTAAGGCCGATATTTGGTTCCTTTGCATCAAAGTTACGTTTGTATGTATATTAGTAAGAATTCCATTAAATTCAGCAAGAGCTATAGGTTTATCTCAATACTTAATGAAGATTGTTTGCACGCTCGGAAGTGTTGTGTACCTAGCTATTTGTCAGTGTGCCCTAAGATTTTATAATTTATTAATAATTACATAAACATATTTTATAAGATTTATATATAATTATAAATCTTACGGATAGTTTATCCGAACGTCAGGCAAATATTTACCCTGCTTTTATTTAAGTTAGAGCCATGTCGAAATATTTTTTAAAAATTGGTTCGATCGTTAGTATTGCCATAACGAAATAGGAGTATGGTACAGAGTAATACATTTACCTGTGTTAATATTAGAGTCAATAGAAATACAAAAACATATAGATTAATAGATGCCTTCAGTTATAGTAATAAAACATAATTTCTATCACAGTTTCTTAGAAAATTGTGTTAATAGCTAATAAATTGAAATACAAAGTAACAACCTAAATTAATAAGTATTTTATAATCGATACAAATCGAAATTTAACACGACTTGCGAAACATGTGTTCATTTCGGACAAGATAACTCTCCTTATTATCTACTTAACTATAGAATGTACATTAATAAATCTATGTTATTGACCATAGCTAGCTATTTACACGATAAGTATTCATCAAGTTAACACATTTTACATTGATATTTTGCGTATTTATTTACTGTCGACACGACATATAGGCGTAATTATTTCCCTTTATAAAAAAAAGGTTAGGACGTAATCGTTAAGACTAATATAGAAGGACCTTGGGTAATCTGTGCTTTTAAGAAGCTATCGGGCTAAAAGAGATAGGTATAGGTAGCGGCAAACTTCTTGAGTAAAACCACCCACAGACAAATAAACTTGCTTTCTTGTCTACTTTCTTCTTCACTTCTTTGTATAATCAAGAAGTTGGCCGGGATGTGTACTAACACATTCCGGCAAACTTTTTGAGCACAACTTTAATTAGGTGAAGAGTCACTTCTACGCTGCAGTGACTACAGTTTCACTGATGACTGCATAATCCAAAATTCTCAAATAATGGGGCAGGACCTGTAGCCCAAGCACGAAAAATAATTGAGCAGGCGCAATCACACCGATAAAGATTATTTTGGTCTAGACTGTAGCACATAAGCCACTTTTATTTTACACTAACTGTAAAATAATGTATTGATCAGTCAACACAAATTTTGAGTCCGAATTCTTTGTACCAGATTCTGATTTCTTATACCTTATTAAGGTAAGAAACAAAATTTTTATTTTAAAGCTATATATTTTTGTAGCCATCATCAGAATGAAAATTTAAATTTAATATAAATTTTCTAATTTTTTTCCTTGGAGTTGTATATAACAAGAAAATCAACAATTATTTATTATTTACATCGCTTTTATTACCTTATGACAATAAAACCAAGTCTATTTATACAAAAAAGATATTGATTTAGTTTTAATATATTTTTTTATAATTTTTAGTCTGAAAATTCAGGGAAAAATGTCTTTAGAATTTTGACGTAGAGCCTTAATAAATTGTTTCCATATACCATTTTTTACGCAAAGTAGACATTAAAATTAGCATATGGTGCAAAAAGAATACGAATATATCATTCTTAATATTATATTTCTTTTTCTTACACTCAATGTGCTGCTGGTTGTAAAAAAAAAATATATGGAAATTTTGTATAACTTCATGTGACGCCCATATTTTATCCTGACTTCAAATAGGAAGTTAAACTTTCGCTACATATGCTTAATTAGGTCTTTTACTACTGGATAAGCTAAATTATTAACCTAAATTTAATAAAATCTCCTCAAATAAAGCAAACAGAGTTCACGTAGTTTTTAATTATTTTGGAAGGCATTTAACCGCTCCGACTCACAAAATAAGTCCTTTCTCTTTAATAAACCATTTTTTACAACGGAGACAGAAAATAAGCATAGGGTCCATAACAAATAAGAATAAACCACACTAAATATTATATTTCTTCTTCTGACACTCTCAATGTTCTGCTGGTAGTGAAGTAAACAAAAATAACATGGATTTTTTGTACATCCTCATGTGACGCTCTAATAGGAAGTTAAAATTAAGCTTCATATGCTTAATCAAGCCTTTTACTACTGGATAAACTAAAAGAAAATATTTACCCTAAATTTAAATAAAGTAAACAGAGTCCACGTAGTTTTTACTCATTTTGGAAGGCATTTACTGCTCAAGACTTACAAAATACGTCGTTTCTCTAAAATACCGAGTAACTGCTCTACTGGTACTGGTAACTATTATACACAGTTAGATCATAAGTATTGTCTGTCACACAGTAAAAGCTTTTCTTTTAGAATGCTGGCCACAAAAAAGTTTTTTAATTCGAATTTCGAATTGTTCATAAAAATAAAAATGTATACTTTTTAGAATTTTACTCATTTTTAAATATGAAGTGGACGCTTAAAGAAGACCGTGTTACAAATGGGGTTAAGCAGAACCACGGTGAAAAGGGTGTTAAATGAAGACTTAGGGCTTCGGGCATATCGAAGAAAAACAGGACATCGTTTGAATGCTCGTCTAATGGACCTGAGACTGAAGAGATGCCGCGCTTTGTTGAAGCGGTACGCGGGAAAAAAATGTCGGGAAATTCTTTTTTCGGATGAAAAAATTTTTACCGTAGAAGAGAGCTACAACAAACAAAATGATAAGGTGTACGCACACAGTAGTGAAGAAGCGAGCAACCGTATTCCGCGTGTCCAACGAGGTCATTTTCCATCCTCGCTCATGGTATGGTTGGGAGTTTCTTATTGGAGCTTAACAGAGGTACATTTTTGTAAGAAAGGTGTAAAAAAGAATGCATTGTGTATCAAAATACAGTCCTGACGAACCTTGTGGAACCTGTTTCTCATACCATGTTCAATAACAGGCACTGGGTATTCCAACAAGATTCGGCGCCAGCTCATAGAGCGAAGAGCACACAAGACTGAAAATCGACTGTGAAATCGACTTCATCCGGCACGAAGACTGGCCCTCCTCCAGTCCAGATTTGAGTCCGCTAGATTACAAGATATGGCAACACTTGGAGAAAAAGGCGTGATCAAAGCCTCATCCCAATTTGGAGTCACTCAACATCCTTGATTAAGGCAGCCGCCGATATTGACATGGACCTCGTTCGTGCTGCGATAGACGACTGGCCGCGCAGATTGTAGGCCTGTATTAAAAATCACGGAGGTCATTTTGAATTAACTTTATTGCTATAAGAATCTTTTTTTTGTTAAGTTCATTTTGGTACATATATGTTTACATAATGAATAAACTTGTTTCAATTATTTTATATTAAACATGTGACAAAATTTATGACCTGACTAGGTATATAATAGTGTGTATTATATATGGTGTTTTTAAAATAAAAATGGGGTTTCTGGTTATTTTTCGATGTAAACAGTCAGACAATAGTCATTAAATAACAAACTCATTTTTTTTTGACTTATCAGTTACAATTGATGAACACGTATCGTGTTCGTACTATGCCACTAGGAAAAATCGTCCCATGATAAAAATATTTACAACTTAATATTTATTTCATTATATTAAGATACAGTTCATTTGCAAATCTTAAGCATCAATGAACAAGATGTTCGGTCATAAAATATTAGAATTCCACAAATATTTTGCCGAACATCTTGTATTGTTTTCATTTACCTTGGCAGGTATATTATCTGACAAAATGGCAAATCCCGTTGTAATAATAACTTTCGTTTCATTACTGATGACTTATTTATTATTGGGTATTACCGTGCTTTCTTTTGCGACACCAGCGCCGTACACATCATTAGTCCTTCGAGCTGTTTCTGCAGCACTGGTGTCACGGAGGAACTCGTACTCGTAAATATACCGATATTTCATCCATTGTGGGCTAATAATCGACGCAAAAGAAAAAATAATGAGGAAAAAAGCAAATGAATGACTGTTTTCAAAACTCAAATGTACCAGCTAAATGAATTTATAAATTTGAATTTGGAATTCTCAACCAAAGAATAGATATTTCAGATCAAAGTGGTCAGTCAGTATGACAAAACGCCAATTTCATATGTAATTATTGCAGTTTCGAGGAAATACGACAGTTCTTGTATTATATAAGGATTGTAAAGTGGACAAATTAAAAATTTACAACGAGATGTGCCCCTTTGTCACAACGCAATAAGAAAACAAAAAATTAAGCGTAACAATATTTGTAGCTTAAAGTACTTAAAGTAACTAATTTCGAGTCTTTGGTCTTTATACATTTAAAACGACTGGAATCAATGACACTTAATTTATAGTCAGAGTCAAAATATTAATTAACTCGTTGTATAACTATTTATTGGAGCAGCACTAGTCACACAATAACCTTAGATCACTCAATCGCACTAAATTACTATGATTGCTTTTTTCAATTATTTTAAGCACCTATCTACATTTTAAGAAAAGTGAATGGCTTTATAGCATCGTGTGGAGATTTTGTGTAGTATTTGTGCGTTATGTTCAAAAGTCACAATACTATGTTATCAACTTGAAATTATCCTGCACAGAGGGTCTACTACAAAAAATATAAACGAAAGTAAATAATTAATTCTGTGTTTTATTAAAATTTTAAGGTTAACATTTTTGACTTTTTGCCTCAATATATAGGCCTGTTGATATTTTTCTAGTAGACCCTTAGGTGGGGTTATCAGTTATGTAGGCGTGATCCGTAGGGTAGCATAATACCTAGTAACAATAAATAAAAATCCAATAGTTAGGTACATTCATATCACATGAATTCGTTGAATAGAATATGAAATTATTTATGTACCTATTCAATATATCTTTAAACGTATTTTACCATTAAACTTTTAACAATTCATATTAAGAAGATATTTTTACATTTGGTCTATTGCCATGTGTCAATGGATTGGAGAATTAGTAGTCTTCATATCTATAAAATATAAGGCGTGGGTGGGGTGGCCTTTACAGACTGTTCCCATAATTTTTGTCTTCTTCCTCTTTTGTAAGATTTTTTTGCGGGTTTAACTATGGACGCAACTTTCATAAAGAGAAAGTTAAATAGTTGTGCACTGAGTACTAAATCCCTTTAAATGAGATGCTTTAGTACTTTTTAAGGGAATAAGGGAGTCAGCCCTGCACACAAACAAGCACCCCTAACCAGCATTGTATTAATGTTCGAAACAATTTCAAAGGAAAGATAGAGAGAAATCTAAGTACACATTAAGTTAAATATCTATATTATACGAGTTTCAGCTGTACTTACACTATCAGTAATTATTCTTTGTTAGCCTAATATAGCGTATTACCGAAAGTACGAATTCAAAGTCAAAATACGAGATTAGTGGCTTATACAGTGTTTTAAATAATTTACGGTACCTACAATAATTAATAATTGACTTTAGTCTCGCTACTACTCTCGAGGCTGCTACAAGATGTGGCGGTGACCAGCAGGTTGTAGTAAAGAGAACGCAAAATGCTTTTCTCCAAAGTTTTATCTTTCTCACACAGAAAGAAAAAGCGTTGAAATTTTGTTTTTTTTTGTATAGTGACAAAGAAAGAAATTGAGCTGAGAAAATCTCCATTTTCCCAACTTCTTTAGTGGTTAAAAGTTAGATTTCCTTTGAAATTTTTTCGATTCGCGTTCCATTACACGGCCGACTCGTGCACGTGTTCTATAGGGGTGCGTTTGCGCCGATCTCACGCGTCCGGGTGCAGCAGGTGCAAGTCGACGGCGACGTCGCGGCGTTGCGCGCGCACCAGTCGCGCCGGCTGCGCCACGTCGCCGAGGAGCGCCGCGTCCTCCGCGAGCGAGTCGCCGTCGCCGGACCCGTAGCCGCGCTCCTCCACGCCCTCGCACCACGACGCGGAGCCGGTGCTGCCGGAACGCGACCCGACGCCCTCCGCCTCCGTTTCTACGTCCACGGAGCAGCTCGCACATACCTCTGTAATAGTAATGATAGTTACCAGATTTTATGTTATAATAAAAAAAATGTTGTGTTCACCCAGCGAAGGCAATTTCCAAGTAGTACCTACTTGCCAATGAATAAAAGCAACACCATCAATGATGACAGCGGGTTATTCAACGAGGGTTTAAACTATTGCAAAACCTTCTCATTACTTAAGATTTTAATCAAAGTGTTTCATATATTTTTTTGAGATATATAAAGTAGTAGTTACTTTTATAGTATACAACCCGCAAAAACTTGAGCAACGAACATAGACAACAAAGCCTGCGCAATATCAATTTTACATACAAAAACATCTACTGCGCAAGATTATTTGTCTGTGGTTTTGCTCAAAAAGTTTGCCGCTGCCTATACTGAGAATAAAAATCAGATTAATATAAAACTTAATTTACTGTTTAATTCTTGAGAGCCATCTTCTTATTTTGATTTTTAAAGAAAACGGCAATATTTGAAAGCTTAAAAACAAACAAAAAAAATGGGTAAGAACACAAAACCATTGATACAAACCAACCCTTATCCTAATAATCATAAAAGAATTTCAACCTTCTACCATCGCTACATAAATACTTTATAATATAGCCATTTATCAACACTTAACTTTGAGTATCTATTGTCTTTTGATAGTTAAAATGTGGATAAATGTGTTTACGCTTTACCTAGGTTGTCATGCTACAGCGGTAGGAGTAGAGCAATCGATAAAGTGAAACCGGGCTTGATATGAGATGTGATTTATCAACTGTTAACGCGAATCGATTCAGTCATTAGTTTGTTGTAGTTGAGCAGTTTCTGGCAGACTGTTAGTTTGCCGAGCCTTTGAGTCTAGGAACTGAAGAAGTAGAGAAGCTATTTCAACTTTGAGTTGCTCACTTTGCAAACGTTTGTTATGTTTCTTCACAATATTTTACGAATGTGTTTATTGATTCTCTTTGAACTCTAGATACATTGACTCTCTACTCTCACAAAAAATATCTGAATATTTTTTTTTTTACTTAAAAATATTTTACGTACCGTATTCGATCAAAATAGGGACATTTTATCACATTGCTACCAATTTCGGACTTGTTATCTGTATTGAAAACATCCTGACGAAAAATTAATTTTACATAACAATTTATATAGCTAACGAAGAAAATAGGTATACCCTTTAATAATATCATAGAAGTAGTCTACTATCACTTAAAATTATTAATTTACTCTTTAACAGTAACGTGTTTGAGTACATTGAATTTTATGAAGAAATATGGGGCAAGTAGTGTTGCTAGGCTGTCTAGTCTACGGGTACTTTATTTTTTGCTGATTCAGTACGGACTGGAGGGACGCAGCGTTTATTGAAAAAGAGGGAGAATGCACTTTTTTTAAAAGTATCACAGTTATACAAATAAGTAAAATAATGTTTTATAAATAAATGCTGTATACTTATCGTATATCTAATGAAAATTAAGGTGTGGTGTATTATTAATATAAGAATGTGCGATATGACCATAAACAAGTAGGTTCCTAAATGTAATCAAAAGTATAACTGTTATACTTATAAACCTAGTCCAGCCATAGGTTCTGTTACAAATGAAAATGCTTTTATTTTAATGAAGTAATGTAATATTATTAAATATATACAGGTTGTTTGGAAGATGAGTGCAAAGCTTTAAAGGAAAGCTAACAGAGATCATTTAGAAACATTTGAGCCATACTTGTCATAGACGAAGTCTGACCATTTTATTTTTAATATTTTTTAACGGTTTTAAAGAAAATAACCTAAAAGTACACAGTTAATTCGAAATATTGACTAATTGACATAATAAATGAATTCTTTTTGACTTTATTTGATAAAACAAGTGTCAAGCAAACTAAGAAAAAATGTTTAAAACATCTGTATCAGCAAACATTTTTTTTACAGATATTTAAAATTATCGTAAATTTTTAAAATGGTAAAAAGCTGTTTATCTTAGGCTTACAAAAAAAACACGGAGGGTGTTTTGTTTGTTCAAAGCTTTTGAAAAACATGTTCAGTTATTATACTTTCTTTTGAGGTATTGTTTATGCAAATTGCTTAGAAATTGTTGAAACTAAGACCAGAAATCCTAATTGAGGAAGATTTTTTTAAATTTAAGATGAAATAATTAAAACAAAATTTCAACTGAAATCACTTATTTTTCGTGTTCAAAATGTTCGCCGCGATTTCTAACACACGCACGGGCCCGTGTTCTTACTTGTTGTCGTTATTTTCAACATCATCTCCTGTTTCATCGTTTGAAAAGCTGCATTTATTCTTTCTATTAATTGTTCTTTTGTGTTTATCTCCACATGAGTTTGAACACTAGTTTAAAGGACTAGTTTTAAGTCGGGCCAAGGAACTATCCTTGGCCAAAATTGAATCCTTAGCTGAGGATCTCCTTCTTCCAGACCTTGCACGCCTGTGTCCTGGAACGGATACTTGGTATTTTGGTGCATTGTATTCCACACCTTCCAATGTGAAATGTATTCTCATAACTAAATATTTATAATAGCTTTTTTATTCTCAATTCGGTATGTAGGTCCTATTTTCAATGATTTATAAGTTATCTACATAAATTATTCAAGATACATTATTGAAGATTCCGGTGCTCCAATATTCGAAACTGATCGAGAGGTCATCTTTCAGCAGGACGGGTGTCCAGCCCATTGGACTTTAAATGTAAGAGAGCATTTAAATAATTGCTTCCCTGATAGCTGGATCGGCAGATATGGCCCAATCTCTTTGTCTGCTTGGTCACCTGACCTTACTCCAATGGACTTTTTCGTGTGGCGTCAGGCCAAGGAACTAGTTTACACTCATGTGGAAATAAACACAAAAGAACAATTAATAGAAAGAATAAATGCAGCATTTCAAACTATGAAACAGGAGATGATGTTGAAAATAACGACAACGGAAGTAAGAAAACGGGCCCTTGCGTGTGTTAGAAATCGCAGCGAACATTTTTAACACGAAAAATAAGTGATTTTAGTTTAAAATTTGTTTTAATTTATTCATCTTAAATTTAAAAAAATCTTCCTCAATTAGGATTTCTGGTCTTAGTTTCAACAATTTCTAAGCAATTTGCATAAACAATACCTCAAAAGAAAGTACAATAACTGAACATGTTTTTCAAAAGCTTTGAACAAATAAAACACCCTCCGTGTTTTTTTTGTAAGCCTAAGATAAACAGCTTTTTACCATTTTAAAAATTTACGATTATTTTAAATATCTGTAAAAAAAATGTTTGCTGATACAGATGTTTTAAACTCTTTTTCTTAGTTTGCTTCCACATTTGTTTTATGAAATAAATTCAAAAAGAATTCATTTATTATGTCAGTTAGCCATTATTTGAACTAACTGTGTACTTTTAGGTATTTTTCTTTAAAATCGTTAAAAATTCTTAAAAATAAAATGGTCAGACTTCGTCTATGACAAGTATGGCTCAAATGTTTCTAAATGATCTCTGTTAGCTTTCCTTTAAAGCTTTGCACTCATCTTCCAAACACCCTGTATATTGCCGGGTAGGCAAATGACTCTACCCCACCTGATGTGAAGTGGTGATAAAGTTCAAACGCGAAGATAGCTGGTACAGCAGTTATAAACTGCTACACCAACTATCCCCTTGATTCTCATTTGTTAGATTCATTAGTTCGATCGTCGAACTAGTGATTTTTTTTTTCTCATTTTTTCTATAGTTAAATTACTGAGATTTTATTGTTCATTTTGTTCGACCATCGTCGAACTTATTTTCTTCATTTATCCATTTTCATTACCAGAACCTCTTAGTTATGTATGGTCTCCTGGTACTTTTTGCAAAATAGTGTTTTTTATAAATGTTTATTAATAATAAGCGCGGAAGGTCGTTTAAAGATTTTAATATTTTTTGGACTTTAAGCTAAGGATATATGTATAATTGAAAATTAGGTTACTTTATTCAGAGAAAAAGAATTATCACTTATGTTACTGTTTGGACACACTACTAGAAAGTGACAGCTTCCACTAATTGAGGTTTACTGTTCGGAACGCTTTTGAGGGTCAGGTCAGCATTCCAGATAGTATGTAAGTTCCTTGGGATAAACTGACTGAAAGTGTGAATCGCCATGAAGAAATAGAAAAACAATAAGTTTTGATAATCTCTCTAATACGGGAGTATATCCCCTTGTCAATATTCCATCCATAAACATTTATAAAAGCGCTATTCTGAAAAACGTACCAGGAGGCCATACGTAACTAAGAGGTTCTGGTAAGGAAAATGGCTAAATAAAGAAAATAAGTTCGACGAAGGTCGAACAAATGAGAACAATAAAATCTCAGTAGTTCGACGATCGAACTAATGAGTAAAAAAAATCTCACTAGTTCGACGATCGAATAAATGAGAATAAAGGAAACTATCCTCACCTCGCCGGTCTACAAAAATGCTTCTTTACGCCTCTTTTAAATGAACCGAGAATGAAGGAAGGAGGGAACACGTGCGTTGGCAAAGAATTCCACTTACGAATAGTACGACAAAGAAATAAATCTCTAAATTTCTTTGTTCGTGTAAGATTAGTGGCCACAGTAAGTCGGTAGCAACTTAGGCCAGCGCGCGTGGTCCTCTGAAGAAAAGGTGATGGAGGGAGAACAACACCTCAACACACTCGCCATATTCGGTAAAATGCGATTAATGGCAATTGTAGAGACTCAAGTTTGTTAGTTAGATCTTCATTTGCAATGATAAGGGCAGTGCACCGCTGCAACTTATTCAAGGCATCGAGTAAGTACTTAGCGGAGTCATCCTAGAGGTGCGAGCAATATTCCACGCAGGACTGCACTTGCACTTTGTACAACTAGCGTAGTTGATTAGGCGTGAAAAAACTCCCGCACCTTCTTCAGGACTCCGAGTGAAGTGTGAAGCGTGAAGCTGTTTTAATCACGGTTTCGATGTAGTCCTTTGGATTCAAGTCTGAGCGAACTTCCATACCGAGCATGGTGATGTTGCTCTGTTGCGCCAGTGCTGTGCCCTGAAGGGAGGGAAGGGGAAGGAATGGCGATGTTTTTGCCGTGAAAGCGTAAACCTGAGTTTTCTTGGCATTGAACTCAACCAAGTTCCTGGTACCCCATTCGGAAATGTGGTCCAAAGCTTGATTGATTGATTGAGTTCAGCGAAAAGTTTCTCACGTTTCTCCTTGGTTTCTACTTGTGGAGCCCCTGTATGTCCAAAGTATCTCGCATGCACTGTAGTATCGTCTGCATAGCAATGAATATTCCCAAGAGGAATCATCATTGATATGCAGCAGAAAGAGTGTGGGGGATAGAACGGAGCCCTGAGGAACACCGGCATTCACTGACATGAACTGCGAACGACATCCGTCCGTAAGAACGCGAATTCTACGCTCGTGCAGGAAGTCAGCAGCAGTCACCCAGGCGCAGAGCTAAGCAGGCAGACCGTATGCAGGAAGCTGGGAGAGAAGGCTTTGTGCCAGACCCTGTCAAAAGCCTTGGCGATTTCAAGGCTTATAGCCAGAGACTCTCCCCCTTGTTTATAGCTTCACCCCAGATGTGTGTCACGTACGGCGAATTCGGCGTAAATCCGTATTGACGATAAGAGAGAAATCTTCTAGGTAGCGGGTCAGATGGTTGTAAAGGACCCTTTCTAAGACTTTACACACCACTGAGGTGACAGCCATCGGCCGATATTTGGCCGGGTCTGAGCGGTCCCCTTTTTTGGGCACCGGTTGCACTTTGGCATCTCTCCAAGTCTCCGGCACACGCCCCAAAAAGTAAGAAAGTTGGTACAAGCGCCTAAGCACGGGAGACAACTCCGCTGCACAATGTTTTTAGTACAACTGTTGGGATACCATCGGGTCCACTAGCTTTCCGGATGTCGAGTGATTGCAATTCCTCACAAACATCACGCTGCCTGATTTTAATATCAGGCATCGTAGTGTTACAATGAGGTAGTGTACCTACACTACCTCATTGTAACACTACGATGCCTGATACCACCTCATTGTAACACTACGATGCCTGATGCCTGCCACCTGGCAGTGCATTGCAATCATTGATTCGGGAGTTAGCCGCAAATCTGTGCTTTTTACCTAATTATCGCGACAGAAGGCGTTTTGATCGACCATTTCCTGTATATCGACGATAAGCACCGAGCTTCAGGTCTTGTTTTATACTACGCGACGGAGTCCTAGCGGGATAAGATTCATTTCTCGCGATAAGATTTATTGCTGCCTAAGGGTTTTGACAAATTCTGGCTTTAACAGCTTTAACAGCCTTTGTAGTTCTAACAGCATGCGGCCGCCCCGATCTTTTCTGGTCTTCGACAGACGAAGTGTTGTTGTATCTGTTGATAGCACGATATACGAACATACAGCTGATACCATTCTTTTGAAGTGTCTGAAATATAACCGACGACTCCATATCCACTTTGTGCAAGGCGATCACTGCAATCCTATTTTCTTTAACACCCCATTCCTTATTGTAATTTGATAATGAACACGAAAAAGTATGTGAAATGGCGCAAAATCAAAAGAAGTTTTTAAAATAATATACGTGTTCCAAATTCAAAATAATTAAAAAGTTGTCAAAAAGAAAATGTCTTTATAATATAAACAGTATTTATGGCCAGACTAGTTATATTGGTATAGTCTAATTTTATCGTTTACTAAGTACAAGTACCCAATAAACTGTGATGACAAAATTATATTCTAAGATAAATCATCTCGTCATAACATTTTATTTTGTTTATAAGTCAATCATAATCATAGGATCTATTTGAACATAAGTTGTAATGCATTGAAAGTAATCTACTGTATGAAATATCTACGTAGCAAATCATGCGATATAATGAAAGTGTAAAACAAAATACAAAGGTAGAGTATCAACAATATCGAGATTGGAGTATTACAACAAAATAAATACTCAATTGTTGCAAAGAATAAACTGTGTGTCTGTATCTTTTGAATAAACTTTGAAATACGGAGTGTTCATATTATTAATATTAAGTGTGTACTTTCTTCTGGAATAGGAATTGCTACGGTTCACCTGATCAAATCATTCTTTCTGCAGGCTATTCTGTAAGAACAAACTCTCACTCTTCACCACGGAATCCGCAGTGTGATTTGAAATTTATTTCTTATTCGTATTCTAATTTCAAATCACACTGCGGATTCCGCGGTGAAAACTGATTTTGTTTTTACAATAGTAGTGCTGATGTGGATATTATCATATCAGTAAGTGATAACAATACATCTCGATCGAATAATATCAGACAAACTGTAGCATACATTCAAATGAGTCGTTTTTAATAATATAAAAAAAATATTACTTTTGTATTACTGGATGTTACGTTACAAACTATAAATAATGCCATCTCTGTGGTGAAGAATATGCTACTAGAAACAGGCAATGTGTTAAGAGAAAGATGTAAGATGAGGTTGAACTAAATACAACACCTTTATTGGGAACATTCACCAAGTTGGGACAGTAAACAGGAGTAAGGATCGGGGCGGATAGAGTCTATCATACACATTCCACATCGATAGGGAGGGGCAGGACTCACGCAGCCGGCGGCGGCCGATTACAATGGGGCTCTCCCAAGTTGGCGGTCAGAGAGAGGTCGACGACGAATAGTCTTCATAAGATGCTGCAATTTTGTAACATTCGCATATTTATACCTATGGCAACGACGTTCAATTGGTTAAATTAGCTTTCCACATGAACTTATCACACATTCAGGAGGCGGCGCAGTATCGTGGCTGATGTAAATTATTAATATTAAGCAAGGCGTCGAAAGTACACCCAGGTGATCTATCGTGTATTCAAAGCAGTCATATTCTTAAAATATTGAAATTTTATGTGTTGGGAAAGCGTTGACATTTATTGTGTGTCATGTTAAGGCTTGAAAAAACCGCAACTGTTGTACAAACTGGTATTTACAATTAACCATCGATGTTTAATCAATGTGGATGTAGGTGAGAAAACCGCTATTATTGTGAGACTCAGGCAGTACACGCTAGTGTGGTGGTGTAACCATAGATTATGGGTGTTACCTACTTGTGAGCGTAATTGTGTTTGGTGTGGTATATAGTACCTGAGCTGTCCGTCACGAGGCGCGGAGGCGTATCTTCGCGGTCGGTTGGAACCACTATTACGACTTCATCTTCTCTCGGTGACTCACCGTTCCGACTAGACGAAGTTCTTTAAAAAAAGATAAATTGGGTTATATTCTGAGTTTAGTGTTACTTTATTAGTTTGGTTGTATGAAATTATTTCATTTAAAATTAAAGCTAAATCCAACTTTTCCTTAAAAAATGTTACACGACATTATTGTTATTTTCTTCAACTTTTTTAATTGAATCAGGTATGTATTACTTTTTGATATATATGTAAGTAATGTTTGCGAAGTACCAATAAAATTGTATTATTTAATCACTAAATCTATTTAGTGGCTTATATTTATATGGCTACAAGTATTCAAAAACGTTACCGTTGACTGCATTTTAAAGTTATTAATGCCCGTGATTAGAGCTACCTTGATTGCTTGCCGTCAGGTGGACGGTGTTAATACACACACACACACACACACACACTCGTATACACACACACGCAGTTTTTTTACTATAATCGTTTACGCATTATATAAAAAAAACGAGCGAGCCTTACAGTAGTCATTTGAAACCTCACCTTATATTAGTAAAAAAAGAAATAAAACCTACTACAAAAGGAATAAGCCATTTGAACATTATGTTCTAAAATCAAATAGCGCGCGCTTTCGCGACTTGCTGTTACACCCTTCCGTCCCATTTCACGAAATCACTCCCACAAATTGCAGAAAAGCGAGAGGAAAGATGTTACACATCAAAAATACAATCTTTACATTGTCACATCAACGTTAGCCTATTAATGTCCCCATTGCTGGAGCACAGGCCTTCCCTATGCATGGAATAGGGAAATTGGGCCATTTTGTCATATAAAAGCATTGAATAAAATAGGAAAATCTTACTTAACGATGACTTTTTTCCTCATGAACCTTGTGCCTAGATCCGAGTAGCCCCTGTTCATGGGCCGCTTGTGCGGCAGCGGCGGCGCGGAGGTAGGCGGCGGCGGCTCGAACGTCCGGGACACCGGCGAATTGGGCTCCGAGCACTGCTTGTCTGAGAGCGCGGGCCGCACGCGCAGCGCCAAAGCACCGTCGCCCGCGCCCGGGTTACCCCCGTCAGTGTTACTCACTCCAGCTATTCTTCTAGACGTTCTCCTATCCTCTTCGTATAATTCTAATAAATGATCCAACTTACTTTCTATATCATCTACCTGAAAAATTAACGATGCTGTTTTATTGTATCATCTCTATCTCATTCTATACAGCAAAAAAGCACTATTTAAGTACCTTATCTGAATCCATAAATATCTCTTGAACATTTTGCTTAAAAATGATGTCGGAATTTTGTAAAATAAAACAAAGATTTCCATCCACTTATTATTTTTTTCTTTCCTTATAATGTTGTACTTACTTGTCTTTCAATTTTAACTACTCTGGAAGCGAGGCTGATTTTGGATGCGTAGACGTCTTTCGCTTTTGACCCTTGCTTACCGAGTATTTGATCTAACCTGTTTTGCAAAACAAATGTTTGATTAGAATCAAATAAAGCAATATGGTATTGTTTGTATTATTAACGATCCAATTTGAACACTACAGTGTTGTTCATGTTATATGTACATTTTAACTACAGTATAGGTAGATTGATAATTCCCATTTGTTTACACAACAAACTTGAATAACATGAAACATTTATTTTCAAATACTAACATTAAACAGAAGCATTTCCAAATGTCCATGACATAGAATATGAAAACAATAGGATTGGCATTCAAAATCAACTATTAATATTAGCTTGTCTGAAAATACAACAATCCTAACGCTAAATTTTCTTCAGGTAATCAATCTCTCGAAACCTTTTTGTCAGAAAGAGAATGAAAAGTAAGCACGTAAATACTTACAGCTAACCAGATATAATATTTACAAACGAATAATAAGTTTATTACTCTTAATCCATTCAAATATTAAAACTAACTTAGAGTTATAATGAAAAGAAAGTGAAAAAGCTTTTGTCCAAAAAGTTAGCATAAACATAATCAAAGACGAAATAGGGAACAGAGATGTGTATTTTTTTTTTCAAGAATTCAAATAATGAAGTTGATTTTAGTAGTATAAACTTATATAGTACTTATATTTGAAACAAACCAAAATACATATTATGTACTTAAATGTATATCAATCTTTTTTTAGGTTTTAGGTATTTTATTGTAAGGATATAAAATACTTTCGTAGCAATCTCATACGTAGCATAGTTGCTACGAATTTCGTAGCAGATGCTACACAGTTTACATATCTGTTCCCACTGTCATTAAAAATGGTCGCCAGTCGTCACAATCGCCCCTCTAACAAAAACACCATACATGTTAATGAGAACGGCACATACAATATCATGCTTGTGAGGAGCAATGGTCATGGTGTGCAGCATGAAATGATCGACATCGACACGATGAATAACCTTTTTCATACATAAACAAAACTTTGCATAGAATGCGAAGCACATGATCACAATTCATAAATATTCATTTCGCATAGTACCTAGAGTACTATTTTTCTATTTCGTGTGGAAAGCTTGCCTACACAAAAAAGTAAATAAAACTAAATGTGCCTGTTGAATCTTTATATTTTCAAATGACTGCAAGACCTCTGTGGCTTAATGTTTAAAAAAAGGTCTACTTGACTACAGGATTTTGCTGTTTGCATTCTCAAGCTTACGGGAGAAGTGTTACTGACATAATCTTCATTAAGAAAATTAAATATTATGTAGGGTTAAATTTTTCGGGATCTTTTAGTCCGTGTGCCAGTAATTTTGTAGCAATAGTAGATACAGTATCAAACAGATGTGACTTGAAACAAAAATTTCATATTTATATTGATCCGAAATATAAATACATTATGAAAATTTGATAATGGTCAAACTAGTCTTTCTGCCACCTAATTGAATAAGTGAATTCCTGATTGATCTAGATCACTAAAACAAATGATGGCTTTGAACAGTTATTATTATTTTATGATTATTTTTTAATTTGGTACATGATAACGCCAAAGTATATACATTAAGCAAAAAGTTTACATAGTGTGTCCCATGAGCAAGTGTGCGAAAGAAAAAGACTAAAATTTACACATTCTTAATTAAAAAGAACGTATAATAGTTTTTTAATTAGAGATTTGTAATTTGCAGCACGTGTGTCTTAATTTAATAATTTAATGGTTTTGTTTGATTCATTGGCCATTGGAGCGAGTTATTACAAATTTTTATGCGTTATTAAAGACTTTAAATTCCTTAAAAATATTATTTAGAAATTCATAACTGTATTTCTATAATTGTATTTCTTAAAGAATATTGTTTACGCAAACAAATGTTTTTTTTTAAAGTTTTGCTTTCTCATGTACTTTTCAAGGGGCACACTCTAACTAGATGATACGTAAACCTAGATTACTATGTGATGGAGCCTAATTAGTAAATCATTATTGTTGTTCATACACAATGGTGCTATTAATTGCCACCTGTTGCTGCCACTGTACCCGGCCAGCAATCGCAGCCAATGATATGTTAGTGAATGGACAACGACTAATAATGATTGTGTTTTTCTGTAATCGGACGTGGTAAGGTGGCTTTCACAAGAGACGAGCTATGAGTGTGAAGAAGCGGTGACGGCGCGGGCGCGAGCGCGGTATGGCGGCCTCTCGCCTCACCTGTATTGCAGGTTCTTGGTTCGATTTAGCAGATCAGCGTGCCCCGACGAGTATTGTTCTATCACGTCTTTCACGTCGTAAGGTTTCAACGCTTCTCTAAATCTCTTGCGTGCGACAAAATACTTGAGCTACACGAAAACAACACACAACGTGTTTCATGAAAACTACATCATTTTATTACTTTTGTTGGTTTGGTTTGGTTTGACACGTGGTTAAATAAAATAAACTATAGTCCAGTCAAATCGAATTGCATTCTGCTTAAGGGTGACAACGGAGAGAATAATACGATTATAATATTATAATGGCACAAATCAATAATATCCATGCATTCATGTTGATGCATTGCTTTTGAACTTTCTAGGGTTTATGTGGTATTTTCTGGATACATTTGCGGAGATATGAAAATGGTAAGACATACCTGTAAATTTCACGTGAAACTAAGCTTTAATCCTTTTTCAAAACATGAAACTGAACAGATGAAGCTATATTAGTGTCAAGTGAAATTTTTCAGGACATAAAAATCCCACTGTATATAGCATTGCACACACACTAGCTACAAATAGGGCAGATTAGGTTTGATGCCAAATTTTCTACAGATCACATTGCAAGACATAGGTAGTAAGTACAGTCCAGACGAGAGGAAAGGTAAATTATGTACGCATGATAAGTAAATGGTGGTGCAATTAGCAGGGTTCTGCGGCTGTACTACCTAGTCTGGACGTTTTTCACTCGGCCCAGCAGGTCCACATGGCCCGCGGAATATTGCTCAATTACGTCCTTAACGTCGTATGGCTTTAGCGCTTCTTTAAACTTACGCCGGGCCACAAAATACTTCATCTGTCAGAATTTGACAACATACATAATATACAATTTATTTTATTTAACAACTTAATTATATAATATTCATTTTTTAATATATTGATACTTTGTTAAGGTGACGGTGATACAACAATGATGTCGGATTGTTAAAAGTATTGTTTACTCAATTTTGACTACACTCATTAAAATGATTGAACCTTTTGCATTCCCTATATGTTTTAAGTAGTTAACGTAATTCAGCTAGCCAGATAGCAAGTAAAAGAAGTTTCAAGTTATTGCTTTTTCATTTTCCTCACGATGTTTGGATTAAGTTATCAGAACATTCGAAACAAAAACTTTAATTTTCAATCATGATGAAAATTAATTTTAAATGATTGATAACGACAGAAAGAAATATGTTACTCATATTTTCAATATGTGATTTAATTATATATTTCATTTTTGGTGTCTTTTTTACACATATCAGATATAGATAGAGATTTTCTTTGGCTACTTGGAACCTTTACAGACTAAAACACAAGCTACTGGACAAACATATTGACATACATAAATAAGTAAATTATATAACTAATGTAATACCTGCCTAATATGATTTTATCATGGACGAAAGGGTTTGGTAGACATATATAAGTGAAGGTTAAAATAATTTTCATCAATAAATAGTGCGCAACACGCGTTTATGTAAACTTATTTCATTATTCGAGGAATCATAATTACGAAATACATATTCACTAGCAAGCAGTTTTAATTGCTGTGTTGGCATTTTCAAGTTAACGCGAACTCAGCACTCTGAAGCTCGGATTACGCCTACAATAAATTTACACAAACCCCCTTATTAATAAACGAAGAATAAGCTTGGATTATTTACTCCATGTTTTGTCTCTGCATGACTCTGATGGAATGAATGATAAATGGAATTCGAGTGATTGAACAAAACACGGCGTAACTAATCTAAGCTTATTCCTCTTTTATTAATAAGGGGAAAGAGTTTAAAAGTACAGGATATGGACAAGAAGTCTCAGAGTCAAAAGAACTCGTAGCAACTTAAATGGATAATTTGAAATAAATTAGTAGTATATGCGAGCATTTAATTGGCAACTATTTATTGTTTTTTTTTAATGCAAAAGGGTTAATCATTATTTCGATTAATTTACATATTGTAATTCAAAACTGAGCCCAGTATATTAAACATGAATACTTTATTTTTTTTCTTTAAATTTAAGTATGGTTTGTAGTATTAATACCTATACAGACGGAAATAATATGGAATTGACGTCTAAGAAATTATATTTTCATAATCCACAACTACCTATTTTATTTTAGTTGATTGTCAGTAGGCGACGCGACACGCTACTAAACTAAAAACGTTGAAAGCTTGTTGCAATTGGCCTTGGCTGAATTAAATCGATGGACTCGTTCGTGCAACGGCACCGACCCATTTTCCGGTTCTTTATACTTAGTAGGTAACCAGATATTCGAACAAAGGTGGAGTTTAAACGGCCTGCAAACAGAATCAATTATTCAGATGCTAAGCGATGACCACCTTTTTAAATATAAGAGCATCTGCGATGTGTAAATCTCTTTAAAAATAGATACCAACACTTCTACATGGCTTTGAGTTGTAAATTAGCAATATGCTAAGCCATTGAGTCTATATATCATTTTTTTTAATGTACTACGCTACTTCTTCTGTACCTAAATAAACTAGGAAAAATGCCTAAATGGTATATAAGGACAATCGATTGACAAGTAAACGACAAATAGATTCCATTCAGCGGGGCATGTAATATTGCTCAGCGACACAAATCGAGTTACGTTATATAGGTACACCAAATTACGTTTCAAGAACTATTTACGCGCCCACTCAGGAAATTATGAAGTAATAATGTTCTTCAAAGAAGGGCCACAATTTACTCTGATCCATATTTATGTATTCCAATTTACTCAGAATATTCAATTTCACTGGGCATAATAAAAACAATTTGGTACCAAAAAGGAGACCTTTGATTTCTGCCCAATTTTGTACTTTGGTACAAATTATCTTAAAATATAGCTAAAATTATGCTTAAAAAGGCTTGATTACCAAAACGACAATTACATAATTTATTTATCTTTACCAAACTAAAAATTCAAAAATTTTAATTGAATAGAAATTGCTGAATATCGGAAATAATATATTATGAAAAGGGTAATCTGCATAATTATAAAGAAATGTTATAACCTTGACGCGATTTATTATTGACTGACAGATGACAGCTTATACTATTGTTTTTAATTAATTTCCTCGATTGTAATTGTTTTTAAGTAAAAACCACGTGACTGTTTTCATTCCATTGTAACTAAAGATATGAGAGGGACATTTAATCGCCTTAGTCCACAGCCTTTGAGCCAACCCTTTCAGTTATTTAATGGGCTTGCAATGTAATATTTTGTTATATTGAAACTTTTGCCATTTTTATGATCTCCGTAGCATATTTTAATTAATTTAATTATACGCATTTACCATAACATATAAATTGTTTCCATTTATTTCAATGTTTAAGCGGTATTTTTAAGTTGTACAATAGATATTAAATTCCATTTATACTTTTAATGACTTCGACGTATTTTCCTACACATAAATGCATGATAATACTTGAGGTACAAAATTGGGCAGAGTTGTATGGAGAAAAGAATGGATCGTTTAGAGAATCGTTAACTTCGTCATCGAGTTTAATCTGCAATTTATATAATGTGGGGAAAATTTATTTTCAATAATAGAAACTGGTAGTGCCCGTATATACGATTTTATTAAAAGCAAATAGGTAGTAATAACGATTAAGTGAAATATGGTGTTGGTGACTTACCTTTCTTATAAAGCGAATGGCTGCTTTGTGCCTTGACGTTAGAGTAACACAACGCGGCTCATCGTCTTCATCTGTACAAAAACATAGACATAATAGTACTATAATTCAATTACAGACATCATTTGATCAATAAAAAGGTAAAAAATGTATCATTCAATCTTTAAGGTGTCAAAACAAGCTGAGCATAATATCTTAAAAGAGTAGGGAAGTTACAGCGCTCTTGAATAAAATATGATAATAAGAACGTTTTCTATTCATATAAATGCTCCAAATATGTAAGTATGTTTTTTGTGTAAGTTGGTATTAGATTCAAAATTATGAAATAATGAAAAAGTTATGAAACCTCTTTTCATGTATGTAAGTTTTGGGCGAGCAGTGTGCGGTGGCTATTATAATACGAGCCCAAGCGGGGATTTTTGGATTTTCTCGAGCGCGGCAGAATAACATAAGGGGGACAACCTTTTGAAGTATTCCAACTATACTTGAGCCCTCTATGTAGGGCCTAACGTCTAGGGCAGCAAAACAAAAATTTTAACTAACAGACATGACTTTCGGTCTCGACCAAATCTTCAGTCTTTTGAATAAGAGCAACTGGAGGGTTCACGTAACATGCTTTTTTACCTTCTTCTTAGTATCTGACGTGCTCGAATATTATTTTTCCTATATCTCAACCTCTTCGTACAGCCACCTCCCCACATAGAGCAAACCAATAGATCGACCGATATTTTTCCTGTCCTCAGGATCGTTACGTGAACACTCCAGCTTCTATTCAAAAGACTGACGATTAGATCGCGACCGAAAGTCATATCCGTTAGTTGAATTTTTGTTTGCTACCCTAGACGTTCGGCCCTACCTAGAGGGCTCAATATCGTTGGAATACTTCACAAGGTTGCCCCCCTTATGTTATTCGTCCGCGCTCGAGTAAATCCAAAAATCCCCTCCAGTGCTCCCTAATTAAGGATTCACAATTAGTAAGGTCATCTTAGTAGTGAAATTAAATATGTATTGGGTATTAAACTGCATATGAATCTTTATGAAGCATATTGTTATTAAGACCAATTTATTTCTAATGTTTATAAGTTGAATTTATAGGAAATATTGATTTATAATAATATTTGGGTTAATTTAACTTTGTGTGTCTAGATAATGGTAAATTAGAAGGAACATCATCAAGATTACTGTTATTATATGTTAATGCTTGTAGATTATAAATATATATTTCTTTAAGTACCAATCCTATAATAGTAAATGAATTTTAAATAAATATTGTGAGAAAGTTGATATTTTTTATATTTTGTTCCTGGCAAGGTAATACTATAAAACACAAACAAAATCGTATCTAGGTTTATTATATATAATAATATATAGGTATACTTATAAAAATTACATTATAGTATATAATTCATCGGGCGCTAAGTATTCAACGTACCGTATCATAGGTATATAAGTATGTGCTACATAGGTCTTCTTAAGGCTAAAGGCCACAATAAAAAAGCTAAAGCTTAGCGAAATATGGTAACAATATCAGTTACCCTACTTAGGCGTGACTTGCGGTGTGCGACGGTCCCTAAGTATATAACCACATAACTTAAAATCGCATATTTTACAGGAAAGCGATTTGAAAGTTTTTGAACAGTTTTTCATCTTTAACTACGAAAATATACATTCAATATTGTTCAAATTCGGCAAATGAAATACACAATACACAAAATTAAGTATGCAATTTTTTCGTCCTGAATAGATTTACCTGAAATTTCTACAGAAGATAGGGTATAGCCCTAGAATCTAAATCTATAATCATCCCGAGGGGCGCTTTTATCCTGGGGGTGGTTGCCCCACCATTTAGGGGTGGACTTTTTTTATTACTTTTTAACTACAGAAATCGATTAAAAACGTAATAGTGAATTAAAATACCGTCTTAAAATACTAACTAACTAAAAAGTGTGAAATAAAAAAGGTAAATTTAAAAAATCGCAAAAACCCGACTGCTTAATTATACTTCAAATAAAAACTGAAAAGAAAAAAACAAGTCCAGTAGTCTATAATTCTGTTAATAAGGAACAAAGCTACTTTAACAGTCGGGACCCATTAGATATTCAAGAATACATAATATTTTTCAACAGTGGGTCCCGACTGTTAAAGTAGCTTTGTTCCTTATTAACAGAATTATAGACTACTGGACTTGTTTTTTTCTTTTCAGTTTTTATTTGAAGTATAATAAAGTCTGGTTTTTTGATTTTTTAAATTTACCTTTTTTATTTCACACTTTTTAGTTAGTATTTTAAGACGGTATATACCGTAGTCTTGTTACTTCAGTATGGGAATTAATATCGCGGGAATTATTAAGTACCTGGCGTCGGTCTAAAAGATTGATTTATTAAGACATATAAAGACTTTACCAGCGGGGTCAAGGCTATAGATGGGCCTCAATTTTCGCAAAAATGTGTGAAGTTAAATCAAGTCGTTACATAAATATCTCTTATGTATGTAAATTTTATAGTAAACTAGCACTTACTCAAAAAGTCATCTTTTCTTTATGTTTTTTTTTAATAGTTTAGCAGTAAATTTAAAATTCTTTTACTTTTATTCGTCGACTATTTAAAATTGGCAGTGGCTGCATTGTCATGTCAATGCCGGACGTCTAAGATTGTGATATACACAAATTCAGTGTCAGTCCCTAGTCTCATAATTTGATAAACCTACATAATTCACAGAAACCCAATACATAAATGCCAGAAGTTAACTTCAAATGTTTTTAATCACCCCATATACAATACCAATCAATGACGTTTATGTCGCAGGTTGAAGAAAGCAGTAATTCCCGTCTGTTGTTTTGGTCAATGGTGGCAATTGCCTTAGATCACTAAATTAAATAATTATGCAATCACCAAAGCAAAGTTTATAATATTTGATTAAACTAAAGGCGCATAATAAAATTTTCATAAAGTTTCTCATAGCAATCTCATTTATTATCAATTTATAGTTCTCTTTGTAGTTTTCTTTTAAAGCGTTCACATTTAACAGGTCAAAGACTTTGTGTTCGACCCTTTTTACCCGGCTGCGCAATGCAAGAGCGCGAAGCGCGACGCGCTGACAGGGTTCTGTGTTTAACAGTCTATATATGTATGTTTGTTCCTTTGTGGCACACTAGAGACCAAACGCCTGGACCGATTTTGATGATTCATACATCAATCGATTCGTCTCAATCATGGGAGTGCTACTAAAGATATGATAGTAATCAAAATTCAATATGGGCAACATAAGGCGCCATATTGTGACGAAGTAAAAAAAATAAGTTGACAAAATATGTCAAGTGGGGTATCACTGTCTAGATAATCAAAAATCATATTTAGGTTCCTAACACCATTTTTCATTTTATATGATTGTTTAGGATCTACAACGCTTTAAAGTTGTATATTAACCACTTCCGCTTTTAATTTCAATCTTACGTTTGTATGGATCTTTGTTACTCTTTCACCTAAAAAATAATGAATGGATTTTAATGAAACTTAACAGTAATATAGCTCATATATGATAATTACATATATATAACAATTTATGTAGTTATTGACTGAATTGGCCAATACATAACAATAAGTGTCACATAAGACGGAAAAAAATCTCCCATTTTGGCCTGCACTGCAAAGACAATAAAAGTTACATGAATGTAATGTAGAGTGAAAATGTATCTCTTAAATAGTTCTAAAAAAAAGTCCGTGACACCATATATCTATTTTTAATGTGTAAGTCATTACCGCTAAAATAGTGAATCAAAACTAAAATATTATTTGATATCTATTTCAAAAATGCACATTTTGTATTAACAAATCCTTTTTTATCCAAACAAATACTTTTATCGCTTTTGATATTTAAAGACGATAAACTTTGCTTTTTACACTATGTCATTTCGACAAATATTTAAAAAGTTACAACGATGACTTGAAGTGATAGCGCGGTGTACTATGTAAAAGAAAAAAAAATGGGGTATTCGCAGTATCTGATCCTATACGAAGTACTAACAATAAACTGTGATACAGTTCCTTCTTATTAAATGATGAAAAATATATTATCATAATAGGTATTTATGATTATTGAATTTTAATGAAAAACTCAGAATTTCACTGTTATTCATTTTTTTAACGATATTACTTAATGTTACAAAAAAGGTTTACTTAATATAATGACAAATAACCCATTTTTCGCTAGTAAGTACATACTTATTGGAATCCCTGTATTTATTAATCAGCTCGCGATAATATTGGTTTTGTAATAATTCTGCAAAATTCAAAGTAAATAATGTAGATTTTTATAGGTAAATCACCCCTTTCATCACCCTACGCCTATAAGTATTGTGATGTTGTAGCTAAGAACCAAGTTCCCATCTACTTCTATATGGGAATTCATTATATTCGATTTAGCTATTAGGGCACGGAAGCGCAACAAACAAATTCACTTTCGCATCTATAATATTATATTATACTTACTAGTGATCCACCCGGGTATTGTAAGGGCGAAATTTATTCATCGGGATAAAATATAGCCTATGTCACTCGGACAAAATATATTTAAATAAAGAAAAATGTTATAATAAATAACGTAGCTACCTTATGATAAATTAATATTTGAAACCGGTTCAGTAGTTTGACAGATTATTTGTTACAAACATACAAATCTTGCTTCTTTATAATATTAGTATAGATAATTAGGATAAGATAAGTATTTAATTGATGAAAAAGATTTAAAAATAAAGTAAGTAATAGGTTTATTTGATTATATTTGTAAAAGTTACTTAGCATTTGTGCTTAACAGTGACAGGTTATTCGGTATTTTTTTAAACAAAAAAAAATTGGAAAATACTTGCCATGATTGCACTACTGGGAGTACTCTTCATTCGAGCTTTACACTACCAATAAAAAAGGGTCGAACACAAACCTGTTAAATGTGAACGCTTTAAAAGAAAACTACAAAGAGAACTATAAATTGATAATAAATGAGATTGCTATGGTGCTCTACCTAACTTTATGAAAATTTTATTATGCGCCTTTAGTTTAATCAAATATTATAAACTTTG